TTTAGAAAGTGTATATATTTATTGATTCCCGGTCGGAACATCTGTTTATTAAAGCAAAAACAGGTACCTGATCCTTTAATCACTTTTTAACATTCAAGTTGTCAGAAACAGTTTTTATTTTCGATGACTTTTCACCAATAATCGTTACTGCAGAACAAAAGCACAGATAAAAGGCTGACAAGGAATCAATAGTCCTTCCATTTCTCTGCACCTTGCGCAATAGCAGGTATTTGCTGCCGTGTTTTTGGACCTTGTTTTCACTTGGTATTTTAATGTTATAACATATTGGAGAATTGGAAGAAAAAGTGTTTTTGTTTACCTTATATCCTATCACATTGGAACAGACATTAATTTGGTCCTAGTCTAAAAAAAATCCTTAGTCACTTGTACTTGTCAACATGAGAACATTATGATATGAGACTGTATTACTTTAGCTTTATGTAACTAATAAACCTTATATTTAACAATTATTGTTATTGTGTTGTTGTCTTTATGTTGAATTTATAGATGAGAGTAGATTTGCATTAAAATTCACGTGGACAAAATCAGGCATTAGGATCAAATACATTTATTGGAATGCCTTACATTAAATTCCTCAGACTGGTTGAATTTAAATTTAAAGCCCCATGATTATTCTGATTGAGCCAACATTAGACTTCAGAGCTCCCCAGGCGGAGTGGTGTCGGTAATCCCCTTTCTCCAGCATGTACTGGCGACCACAGAAGTTAGGATGTTCATAGAAAATCCAAGAGCCCTCCAGGACCTTGCAGGATTGGACCTGATGTCTGAGCCACTTCTCCTGGATAGACTTTGTGTTTTCTGTGAACTCCAAAGAATGGCCCTCAAAGTTTGGCCGGTCAAACACCCTCAACTTGCAAGTCCCTTTGACCTGGAACCAGAAACAGAAGATATTGTTTTTTAGGAAGACTGTGTGATAAATGTTTGTTGTTGTTGTTAGAGCACTTACATTGTTGATTATCTTGCAGGATCTGACACAGTCATTGAAGCCCATCCAGTGACGGTAGTCATTGTACTCCCCGGGGCCAATGACATACTGGTAGCCCATGAAGCTGTTGCGCTCGTATAGAACCCACCATCCGGCCTCTACTTTGACCGAGTTGCAACGGCGGATGAAGCCCTGCAGGTCAGCCGAGTTCCCTTTGCAGACGTAGGACTTTCCATGGAAGTCCCGGTCCTCGTAAAACACAATCTGAAAGTAATCCATAAAGAAAATAATTATAGGTTTAACAAAAAGAGGTTTTTATCTTCAACTGTGTTTGCATTCAATAAAAACAATTTTACAAAACAACTGACAATTAGGTTTCTTGCACAAAATTTAGAAATACTTTACTCACATTCTCCATCTGTAGCTCTCAAAATACTACATCCTGTAACAAACGCAGTACTCTTTATACATGGCAGCGACAATACTATGCATGGTTAGCAGATCATGTAATAGTTATTACAATCCAAAATATTCATCTAGAGTCTGCCCATTGTTCTCACTTACTGAATTGCCTTTCTACACACAATGGCTGTTTAGCAGTGCCAAGTATCTGAGCGTCAGTCGTGGCTCATCCCAAACTGATCTGGACCGCTGCAATAAAAGTGTTTTGTTTATGTGAGTTTTAAAAAACGCTTTTATGCATGTTATTACATTACATTACATTATATGTTACTTGTTAGACGCTTTTATCCAAAGCGACTTACATACTCAATACTGTGGGCAATCCCCACAGGAGCAATTTGCCCAGGGACATGCTGCCTGCAGTGGGGTTTGAACCTGTGCTCCCCTGATCCGAACACCAACTGCGCCACACGCCTCCCATATATAATGCTGGCTGTATTTTATTATCAAAAAGTGCAATACAGATAAATAAAGTATGTAATTATTATGGGAACACTTTATATTAAGGTACACAAATTAACCATCAACTAGTTGTTAATTAACATGCTTATTAGCAGTATATTGGCTCTTTATTAGTCATTATAAAACACTTATTAATGCCTTAATACACACAGTCTTCTTAAAAAACAATATCTTCTGTTTCTGGTTCCAGGTCAAAGGGACTTGCAAGCCTTAATACCTCATTTTGAATTATTTAGACACAATTAACACTTATAGTTTCATGTCTTGTTACATAAGAATATAGATCATATTTGTTAAGTGTTATTATGGGAGAATTACTATTCTTGTGGTACTACTGCCTTATTAGGCCCATATTGAGCAGAGCATATTAAGACCAAAACTCATGTACAACAACTTCCTTACTTGCAATAAATAAGCACTAATTAGAGGCTTATTGAGGAAAAACTCTCAACTAATGGTTTATTGCTTGTAGAATATGGTCATGCAGAATAACATTACATTGCATTTAGCTGACATTTTTATCCAAAGCGACTTACAATAAGTGCATTCGACCAACAAGATACAAACTTGAAGAAAACAGAATCATATAAGTACCGTAATTTTCGCACTATAAAGCGCACCTGAATATAAGCCGCAGCAGCTAAATTGAATGATGTGTACATATATAAGCCGCACTGGACTATAAGCCGCAGGTGTTTTAATGTTTAATTACCATATCTAAGGGTTCGTGCACAGAGGGGATTGTCGGGAAAGAGATGGCTGTTTGAGGAAGCTCCCATTTATTAACATTTCAACAAACAAGTTGCATATTTGCATAACGTATTCAAGTGTTACCATTTAGTGCAATAGTAGCTACAGAACATGTACTGTGCTGTGTAAACTGTACTGTATCACATAGCGTTTCAGACACACAAACTTTTCAACTTTCAAACTTAGGAGAGGTTACGTCTTCTTTGTGTTATAAGATAGGACTGGCAGGGTCAGTCAAACCTGGTCGTTATCCCGCGGAGCTCCTGTCCCGGTCCCTTGCGCTCTCTCGGCCCGGTGTCTACAGGGCTAGCCCGAGGGTCCCCCGCTAGCATCCCCCGCTAGCATCCCCCGCTAGCAACAGGCCTTCAAAACAATGTTAGAGGCGCTCCTGAAACAGCATCAAAACGGGTATATTTCCCGGGCTTTAATATACGCTTTGTTTCACTCGTTTGTTGTTTTGCTCCTCCGTGTTTTCAGAGCAAGTCGTCGGAGCTGTAAAAATCCATAGATTAGCCGCACCGTTATATAAGCCGCAGGGTCGAAAAATGGGAAAAAAGTCGCGGCTTATAGTCCGAAAATTACGGTACATCAGGTTTCATAGAGCTAAAACATTTCAAGTGCTAATAAGGCATTAATAAGTGTTTTATAATGACTAATAACGAGCCAATATACTGCTAATATGCTTGTTAATTAACAACTAGTTGATGGTTAATTTGTAGGGATGTCCCGATCACCTTTTTTTGCTCCCGATCCGATTCCGATCATTTGATTTTGACAATCTGCCGATACCGATTTTTCCCGATCCGATCTTTATGCAATGCATTAAGAGAAAAAAAAGGTAACAGATAATGGCTGGTCATCCAACACGATGAATTCAGCTATCTTGGCTGTTATTTTTTTGGCCTTTTCACTGTTCTGGGGCAGTTTCTCTTTCCTTTTAAAAGTCTCTGAAAGTGTCGGTTGTTTCAGTGCCGTTACCTGAGTGGCCGCTGTGTACTCGTCGTGTTGTTGTTGGTGTTTGTATTGGATAGGTCGTGTTGAACGTAGCTCTGTTCTTTCCACCACGTGGAACCTCCGCCTTGCAAACATTGCATCTGGCTGTTACACTGCCTTCGCTTTCAATTTTATAATACTTCCAAACTCCTGACATTTTCTCTGTCCCGACTCCCGAGGCACCAGCTGAACGTAGCCTCTTGTTAGCTTACTGCTACTATTAGACACTGCGCCCTGCCCACTCTGTTGCCAGATTTGAGAGAAATAAGCAGCCAGGTCTATGAAAACAAGCCCAAAAGAAGCAACACATACATGATGTTGTGTAATTTTAAACCAAAACTAAGGCCTCAGGATGACTTTAAGACGTGAACATGGTCATTTTTGTTTTGTAACATTAAATAAAATTATTAAAAAAAATTATTAAAAAAAAAAAAAAAAAAATTCCGATCCCCGATTTTTTTCTCCCGATTCCGATCTTTTGAAAATCGGATCGGGACATCTCTATTAATTTGTGTACCTTAATATAAAGTGTTACCAAAGTTATGCTACAGAAGAACCCCCAACAACATGGTATACATATTTTTGTAAGTTTAGCATTTGCATGTGTCAGAACTGATAACTGAAGATGCCCTTTAGCTCCGTAAAAGGTATGGGGTTGTGTATGATAGTTCTGTGTTGACAGGGTAATTGGTGAAGCATTTTTGGGTAACTAAAATATGTCTAAATATCGTTGATATTGACATTATTCACAATTGTCTGTGGCTAAACCCTTGCAATCAACTTGGTGCGATATCTGTAATGTTTTACACTAACACAGTAATCGATGGATTGTCAGTGCAGACTATGGAAACCTGGAAAGTGCTGAGAGTAACGTTTTCTAAAAAATAATGTGTTGAAGAACAAAGGACACACACATTGTCCATCTCTTCTTTCTCACAACTTATACAATGTTATGTATTTTTTCAACCTCCATAAGCACCACAGTAAACAAGATCAAAATATTTGATAAAGATGAACTATTGTCATTCATACTATTAACAGGGTAACTGCAGATAATGATAAGTAAACATGTTTTTTGGACATAAGAGAATTACATTGTGAGGTTTACATTCAAGCATCCTAAATCCGGATATGTGCAGAAACTTTTGCTGGCTACTGTCGAACATGATGCATTTTTGAAGTTTTCAGTCAATGTTTCTAACTGTGTGATACATGAGTGTGTTGATGTTAAGTTTGAACTGCCATAAGTCTGTCTAAAGATGTTTACTGGTGAACACAAGAAGACAAGACTAAGTGTCATGAAACTTAAAAAGGAAGAAATACACACTGCTGTTATGGGTAAGAACATATTTTATTTTTTATTTGTTTTTGGAAACAAGGTCAGATGTTTAAATTTAAGAAGTAGGTAGTTGTTTTTATCTTAGCTTTCTGGAACTCTTGACTTATTGAGATGTTGTAGAACTGACTCAAGAACTCCGGAACTTCAGTGGTGTAGAATTCTGGAATCTTGGGGGGAATTTGTAATTGTGATTCTCATAGGACTTTGGAACCTAGTAAGTGTTCTAGAAGTAATGTTCTAGAACTCTAAGCTCTTAAATCAGATTTTATTAGGAATTCTAGAACTTTGGTGTCCTGAACATTCAAATAGCTCTTTTAGGGGATGCAGAACCCTGAATTGATGATGTGGTTCTAGAACTTCGTGATCATGCGGAAGGATCCCACAGCAGGGGACGTGGCGCCCCAGTCGGTGTAGTTGTTGTACTCGCCACGTTCCAGGAAGTACTGGTGCCCGCAGTAGTTGGGTTGCTCGTAGAGGACCCACGCACCATCCATAACCACAGAGGAGTGAACTTCCTGGAACTTGAAGGTTTCGTAAACAGATGCGCAATCCTCAACACACTCTGCAGCCTGACCTTCGAAATCCTTCTTTTCGTAGAATCTGATCTTCCATGACTTTCCATATACCTTGAAAGAGTTAGATAATTAAAGTTAATTCAATTATGTAAGCATTTAATATCTGATTTGTTTGCCATATTTCCGTTTCACATCTACAAATTGGTTTCTTGGCTTTTTTCCTAGTTTCCTTCAATAATTGATGTGCATTGGCATGGACAAAAAGCATCATGCTGCCAAAGCATGAGCCTTTTATCCCTCCTTTTTCTCATTTGGCCTTTGACTAATTAAAGCTTGGTTGGTGCACTCTGTTTGTATTTGACTGGAGCCCGGCATACTCCTGCAAAATAGTTAACCTAGATATTTTTTTAATGTAATGTTAATAATGTTGTGTTAGTAATCTACTACCCAATTGAACTTTACCATATCAACAGATTGGTGTAGTAAGCTTAACCTAGATTGATGACACTATTGAATTAGTAATAATATTAAATGAAATAGACAAGCATCAATTCAGTATGACTTAATTTCATTGCTGTGTAATCTGTTGGTTGTGTTCAAAAAAGCATCTTGTGGTAACTGGGCTTACATTTTGGATAGAGCGGCATGACTTGATGCTATCATTGAATCCCATCCACTGTTGGTGATCAGGGTATTCCCCGGAGCTCAGGATGTACTGGTTGCCAGTATAGTTGGGACGCTCGTACAGCACCCAGCAGCCACTCTCCACCTTAACGGAGTTGCAGCGGCCGAAGTAAGAACGCAGGTCAGGACAGTCGGTGCTGCACTCATGGCTTCGGCCTTGGAAATTCTTATCCTCGAAGAATGCAATCTGGATTAAAGGAAGCAGACAGATACTGGTAAGCTATCGTCGCAGAATGGCAAAAATACAATTACAGAGTATTTTTGTGCCTGGCTGCCATTAAAATGACAACAAACTAGAGATATGCAATACAGTTACTGGCTGAAAGATGAAAACTAATTGTTAACTGCATTTGCTCCTTACCTTCCCCATTGTTACTGCTATTGCTTGCCTGCCATCAACTGCAGCTGTGTTGTGGTTTATATCGAAATGCAGAATGTGCAGACGAGGGGAAGCTTTTGTTATCTAAATTAGCCTGATTTGCATATCAGCAAAATGGTTTGGTCAAGTTTGATTTCCCCTTGTCCACATGAGATAATCTCCTATCAAAGAATTGCCAAAACTGACATATAAAACATAGAAAAGCCGACAGTCATGTTTAATGATAATCATGTGTATTATTGCCATTGAATTAGCTCTATCAATTGATCATTGGCATGTTATTTGGTCTAATATTTGGAGGGTTTTTTTTTCGAATAAGAAAACAATTGTACATTTGGTGTACATTTGGCTATCTTAAAAGAGGAGATTACAAAATATGATCCCAAGACAAATGCAGTCCTTAAATGTTGGACACTAGTACCTTGAAACTGTGTCCTCCTATCTTTAATTCCAATATTTCATACCTGCGTCTTGTTTTCTACTTTATTCAGGAGATGGTTAAAGACCTGCTAGTTACAGGTTGTCAGCCAAACAATAGCATGCATATAAAACGCAATGTAAACAAAATAAATCTTAAAGAATTCGGAACAACAACATTATAACAAAACATCTATTTCCTTTAACTACACATCGTTTTCAACCTTTAGACCAGTGTTTCTCAAAGTGGGGGGGCGCAGAGGCATGACAGGGGGAAAAATGGTTTTCAAAAAAATAAAGAAATCATAATTTGAAAAATTATTGATTCGAAAATAATATGATACAGTACAGTACAAGTACGTCTGGGTCTCTGTGTTTCATTCAAGGTCGGCACTGTGTGTGTGTGGAACGAGCCATTTTGTGTGCGCGAGAGAGAGAGAGAGAGAGAGAGAGAGAGAGAGAGAGAGAGAGAGAGAGAGAGAGAGAGCGCACCGCTACCGGAGATCGTTGTTGTTAGCTTAATCTCTGGCGCCGCCACTGAGCCTGCAACCCCGTTTTGAAGAAATGTGCAGTGCAAAACAGGCTCATTGCAGCCACTAATGCTGTGATAAGACACACTTTTTTTGCCAAATATCAGCATTTTCTTTCTTTTCAATTTTTTGCACAGATTGCAAAGTATTATAACTTATTGTTCTAGCAAAGGGATTGCACAATTGTATTACAGTATGTATTATTTTGTTGACCACACAGACTTATGGAGCATTGTTTTCTTATTACAGGCCGTCTCCACAGCAGCGTTAAAAAATCTTGAAACGCTTCTGCCCATTCACTTTGAATGGGGTGACGTCACTTTCCCTCACTTTTCGCCGAAATGCATTGTGGGCAGGCGAGCGGAGATTCTCAGGATTTTCAAGATTCAAAGTTGAACAATGTTCAACTTTTGAAGCTGAGGTGGAAGCGGCAGCCAATCAAATCCCGTGTACGCAAACTGGCAGTTCAAGCTCTAGCCAATCAAACGGCGTGTATGCTGGGAGAGCCAGACCGCAGGTCATTTCCTCATATTCCAAAAAATGGAGGAGAAATTAGCGGTAGCGAATCAATCACCCGGTGCTTTATGACCAGACCTACCGGGATATAAACCGGAGGAGCCAGGCATGGAGGGAGGTGGCAGAGACAGTGGTATGTTTTCGCCTGTTTTGGGGAGTTTATATCCAGTTTACTTCGGGCTTTTTGGCTTCGTATGTCGCGGGCGGGAGATTCATGTGATTGGTTGATCGCAAAAAAATCCCCAAGCCTCAGATACGCCCACCTCCAAGATTTTTTTAACGCTGCTGTGGAGACGGTCCGTTACTGTTCTAGCAAAGGAATGCTCACGTTCATATTGATGTATTTAAATAAATGTTAACTTGGCCCATTACGTGACTATTTGTGTTGAAGGGGGGCCCGACTTTTTTTTTCTCCAAAGCCTGACAGAAGAAGTTTGAGAACCACTGCCTTAGACTGACTTTTCTTCTAAGTTTAATCCAATCAAAGCCGCAATGTCATTGCTTCATAGATCAAATCACCATTAAGTATTTTGGGATGTTATTAGTTACTCTTGTGTCTTTCAAGTCCAGATGAGAAAGTTTGAAAGAAGAGCCATTCATAAAAAGATGAATAAAGCTGATGTTCAATTGTTTCAAGCAGCAGGGATAAGAAAGATTTAGAGTTAGAGAAAAAGTCTTGGTTTGAACCTTAAGGATGTTGCTTTTAAATGTAATTAAATCTGCTTTTTGTTGTTGCATGATACTGTACATTAATGATGCACATCGCAAAAATGAACTGACAAGAAACCATGAGTTCACATGATTAATTGATATCAGAATCAGAATGTGGTTAAAGCAAATGTTTTGTCTTACCTCCCACTTACTGTGGTTTTGTACCATTTTAGGGCACTGCAAATATAACTTTGAAATGGGGAGGAACTGTGATAACAATAGATCTATGGAAAATTGTTTCCGCTCTTCTGACGACCCAAATTCTCTGAACTAGAGCTAATTCAAACAAAAAATAAAAAATCCTTTCAGACTGTTTGTCTGTTTGAACTGTGATCAAACTTTAGTGTCACCCTAATTTTCTACAGTTGTAAATGTATAAACTCTAGCTGAGTCCTTCTCCCTCCTCTGCCTTGTGTCTTCCACCTATTTCCCCCTCCCTTTGTTCTGAATCATGATGGCACAAATTAAATTAAAAGCGATCGCAGAGCTGCTTATTCATCAGCTTCCAGATCATTTGAATAACAAAACCCTGTTACAGCGCGTATAAAGTATAAAAGCCGCCTGGCAGCCACAGGTTGTTGGACAGATTCCCACAAACACAGATCATCAAACATGGGCAAGGTATGCACAGAGTGGAATAGAAAACAAGCATTTTTTCAGTTTAGGAGGCACTCAATGTAAACAAGTTGAAAAAGATAAAAGAAAGGCGCATGATACTACATGTTTCAAATTGACCAATCAGTTTGTACTGTTTTTTCTTATCTGCAGATTACTTTCTATGAGGAGAGGAACTTCCAGGGTCGCTCCTATGAGTGCCAGAGCGACTGCTCTGACATGACCCCCAACCTGAACAGGAGCCAGTCCTGCAGGGTGGAGAGCGGCTGCTTCATGGTCTACGACCGTCCCAACTACATGGGGAACCAGTTTTTCCTGAGGAGAGGAGAGTACTCCGACAACATGTCTTTTGGCATGAGTGACTCTTTCCGATCCTGCCGTCAAATTCCACAGGTATGCAGGTATTTTTTAAAGATTAACATTATTAGAAATGATGTCTAGTTATTATAATATTGATTTAAAATGGTAGCAGAGCTGTTATTTCTTACAAAAATAGCATGTATTTTATCATCAGATCAGCAAGTTTCAAGCTTCATGTTGACCCGTCCTCCTCTCTGTAAACATCAACAGCACAGAGGATCTTTCAGGATAAAGATCTACGAGAATGAGAACTTCGGTGGTCAGAGTCATGAGCTGATGGAGGACAGCGATAACATCATGGAGCGTTACCGCATGTCCGACTGCCAGTCCTGCAATGTGATGGAGGGTCACTGGCTGATGTACGAGCAGCCCCAGTTCAGAGGCAGGATGATGTACCTGAGGCCCGGAGAGTACAGGAGCATGAGAGAAATGGGATTTAGCGGCATGAAGCTCAACTCAGTCAAACGTATAATGGATTCCTGTTGAAGCAGAAAAAAAGAAACGTGTCGAATAAAATAAGAGAAGAATCAAATGTCACCTTGTCATTGTCTTGTCTTATATCAAACTAAAGATTTAAGTCTGTGAGCGTTACTCTGAAAAACTGGAGTATAAGGAGATATCATATTCATTCTGATAGTCACACATTATTATCATTACCACCACTTACATTTACAAAATCCAAATAACACACCAGCTAATGGCGTGCTAGTTTTTGACATACAAATACAGGAATGATAAAAACGATTCATACATGTATTATTAGGTTGTACACAATTGTTTAATTCACCATACTTGCTGTGATTTAACCTAATGAAAAAACACTTGCTCATGATTATAAATCTATTGTTTTCATTCACTATTAAACAGGTGTAATCCAAGTCATAGTTTTTTTATTTATCTTCTAGCAAAATGTAATGTAACCAGCTTGATGCCATGCAATTTGATATAGCTATAAGTGCAAGTGCCTATGAAAATCTGTTTTTTAATCAATTAACAGCACACAACTCCAAATAAAGTTTTTTTATCCCATCATCTTGTTGAGAGGTTAATATGAACACGCATTTCACATAGTACATATTCATCTGCTGACTATAACGTTATAAATTGTGATTATAAAAAAAACTCTTAAAAAGGACATCCACTAAGTTAACATAAAGTGCAGATTATTACTTAGTGAAAACATTTGTATACTATCCTCTGTGGCACTCAAAATAGTATTTAGGACATCAGCAGTTATGTATAAAGGGTGATGAGTTTTTGTTCTTTACCTTTCATATAACCTGCTTCTTGAGAATCCTGCAGCTTAAGATATTTACAATTCTAAATAGCTTGAAACACCTTTTAGACCAATTTTAAATACCTCTGAATAAATGAATTTTTTCCAATACGTTTAGCTAAGATTCTATATGATAATAACATAAAATATGCTTTTTAATGCTTCTTTTTTGTATAACATTACAATACATGGATGGAATGTAATGTCAGTATGTATACAATCTAGATGCATCTGCTTTTTACTTGAAGCTCTTATGAAGTGTTATGGTCTTCTCTTCTTTTTTTTCTTGATGTGGTGATCCACACCAATAATTAAATTGTATTAATTATATTGAATGACTATAAATTAAACAATACAAATTAATAAAGTTAGGTTAATAGTCTAATACAACTACAGTGGTGGAGGAAGTGTTCAAATCCTTAACTTGAGCAAAATTACCATTACCACAGTGTTGAAATCAAATACAATTCCGGCTATGCATGTCTTAAGTATTTACGCATGATAAGCAAAATGTACTTCTTTTTTTCTATAGCACTTTCCAAAACTTTTTACAGCTCAGCAAATGG